GCCATTTAGTTTATGTTCTTACCTAACTGCTCTGGCCAGGATTTCCAGTGTTATGTTGAATAACCATAGTAAAAGTGGGCATCTAGCCAGGCACAGTGGCTCACACCTATAATACCAGGACTTTGGGAGGCTGAGGCAGGAGGATCGCTTGAGCACAGGAGTTTGAGACCAGCCTGGGCAACATAAGGAGACCCCATCTCTATAAAATAAAATTTAAAAAAATTAACTGGATGTGGTGGATCACACCTGTGATCCCAGCTACTTGTGTGTCACAGAATCCTTGGGGCATCGCTTTTCTCCCATCCAAGTATTAACCAGGCCTGATCCTGCTTAGCTTCCAAGATCAGACAAGATCAGGCCCCTTCAGGGTGGTATGCACATAGATGGGGTGTCACATTCCTGGCCAGAAATCTCTGTGGTCAGTGGCACCTTTGCTCAAGTTTTGCTCAGGCCCACTGGGCTCGTTCCACCTACTCAGCCTGGCAGGCTGTGCTCAGTTCACACTACTGGCCGGAATCCCATGCCTGCCAAGGGTGAGCCAGGCGTGGAGTGGCAAGGGGTGTGTGAGTGAGCAAGCGCGGGATCTGGCCACTGCTCACAGCCAGGCACATTGGCTGTGGTGGGGTGGGCAGTTCCACATGCTGTCATGGGTGCTGGCTCCCTGTGAGTCTTCAGCTGGACCAGGCATACTGCAAGCAGCTTCCACAGCTGGCACCAGGGAATGCTGTGGTGCCCAGAAGCTTGGAGATGCCAGAAACTGCAGAGCCCCAAATAGGGTGTCACAGCCCCAGTTCGTGGAGCTCCTAGGTCTGGGCTCCCCGAAGGGCCACAGCTCTTCTCTCCTTCTCTCTTTTCTCCTTCTCATCACCTGCAATGTGGTGAGCAATGGGTGTGTTTCAGCCCTGTTTGTGTTACAGCTCTTTCAGCCCTAGTACCCCAAGTTCTGTCCCATGTCCAGGAAGAAGAGGTACATGGGCAAGTGGAGGGTGAGCAAGGCAAAATGGTGTTTTACTGAGCCACAGAACAGCTCAGAGGAGACCCACAGTGGGTAGCTCTTCTCTGAAGACAGGTCACCCTGATGAGAGTCCAGCTCTTAGCAGAGAGGAGACCCACAGTGGGTAGCTCCTCTCCACAGGCAGGTCATCTTGACGTCTGCCCAAGTCCGGCTGAGTCCAGGGTTCTTATGGTCTTCAGAGGGGAGGAATGATCAGCAATGCATGCTAATTGGTCCATGGGTGACCATGGGTGGGGAGAGGCCAGGCAGCAGAAGCAGGCATTTCCAAGCCTGTGGGGGCTTCCTTGATCCCCAAGACTGCTGGAATGCCCAGGTCTGCAGCCACGGCTGGGCAGCCTCAACTTTGCTCCATAATCAGAGTGGATGCCAGGAGCAGAGAGAGGCTAGGCAGCAGGAGCAGGCATTTCCAAGCCTGTGGGGCCATGGGGGACTTCCCAGTCCCCGAGAGTGCAGGAATGCCTAGGTCCGCAGGGCAGCTGGGTGGTTGCAGCTGCACTTGTGAGGGTGGGGCTCCTGTCTCTCCAACTAGGAATAAGTCCTGGCTTCCTCCTGTTCCCAACTTCCACCAGCTCCTGCCAGCTTCCTGGAGTACACAGCCCTGATGCGCCTCCCCTACTGCAGCCAGCATCTTTGCAGCGGCTGCACCAGATAAGCCGTCACTGTCATCACTTGGAAGGTTGAGGTGGGAGAGATTGCTTGAGCCCAGGAGGTGGGGACTGTAGTGAGCCGCGATCATGCCATTACACTCCAGCCTGGGTGACAGAAAGAAATCCTGTTTTTTAAAAAATAAATAAGGCCAGGCACAGTGGCTCATGCCTGTAACCCCAGCACTTTGGGAGGCTGAAGCAGGTGGATCACAAGGTCAGGAGTTCAAGACCAGCCTGGCCAACATGGTAAAACCCCGTCTCTACTTAAAATACAAAAATTAGCCAGGCTTGGTGGCAGGCGCCTGTCATTCCAGCTACTCAGGAAGCGGAAGCAGGAGAATTGCTTGAACCCTGGAGATGGAGGTTGCAGTGAGCCAAGATTGCACCACTGCATTTCAGCCTGGGCAACAGAGCAAGACTCTGTCTCAAAAAAAATAATAATAATAAATAAATAAATAAATAAATAAATAAATAAATAATAAATAAAAGTGAGCATCCTTCCTGATTTTTAAGAAACTCCCTGTCAGTAGTTGTTAGGGAGCTAATCTCCACAGGTTACAAGACAGACCTCTAGGGGGCAGTGTTGTCCAAACTCCATGGGCCAGCCTGCTGGTCTCAGGGGGACCCATCTTCAGTACCCTATTATGTACTATGTTCATGGAACCTAAGGCGTCATTGATTAAAAGAGATACCATTACTGGATGTGCCACTAAAAATGAAACTACTCCAGATAGAAGTCTATTAGACCCCAGATAAAGCTGAGACACTAAAGGCCTCTGTGGAGGGGGTCCATGAGAAATATACAGAAAAAAGACAGAAAGAAAGGGACATGCACAGTAGGACAGCAAGAGAAGCTGCATGTTTCAATTTTGCCATAGATGGAGGAAGTGAAATATCTGCCCTCATAATTTGAATCAAAAGTTGGTTCTCATGCAGTTTTCTGGTACTACTTGTGCCATCAAAAAAACCTCAGAGAATATTATTTAATGTACAAATGCACCTCAGCTTATGATGATGTTGTGTCCTGATAAACCATCAGAAGGTGACTATATCATAAGTCAGCTTTATCCAGTTGTAAGTTGAGGCACACACTGAATGCATATTGTTTTCACACTATCACGAAGTTAGAAAATCATAAGTTGAAACATCGTAAGTCAGGGACCATCTGTAGTTTCACATTATTATGAGTTCCTTGGCAAGGGTAGAACACAAAGCTTATATAATTTGATGCCCTGTTTTAAAAAAGAAATACAAAATATCTTACTCTTGCAAATTTTATAAAAACCTATGATGAGGCTGAGTGTGTTGGCTCACATCTGTGATCCCAGCGCTTTGGGAGGCTGAGGCAGGCAGATCACTTGAGGCCAGGAATTTGAGACCAGCCTGGCCAACATGGCTCAACTGCATCTCTCTACTAAAAATACAAAAAAAATTAGCTGGGTGTGGTGGTGTGTGCCTGTAATCCCAGCTACTCTGGAGTCTGAAGCATGAGAATCACTTCAACCTGGGAGGCAGAGGTTGCAGTGAGCTGAGATAGCAACACTGCACTCCAACCTGGGCAACAGAGTGAGACTGTCTCAGAAAAAAATATATGTAATTTGATCCCATGAATCTGTGAGGAGGAACCCTTTCAGGGCCTTGGAAGGGTCATGCAAATGAGAGGCCCTGAAACTTTACTCTCATTGGTAAATCAGTCTGTGCCCCTAGTGACAGGCAGAAGCAAAGAAAAGTCCTCTAAAAATGAAGGCAATTTTAATCTAGACAACAGGAATCATAACATACCATCAACTATTATCATATGCTGGCTTCAGAGATGTTAAAGTACACAACAGTATGCTTCTTAGGAGCAATGAAATACGGTACTTCAAAAAGAAAAAAGATAATGTAAATTCTGACCCTGACTTGGCTAAGACAATAACGACAATGATGATAGCTATCATTTATCAAGCTCCTACAGTGTGCCTGCCTTCTCACAAACTCTTTTTCTTTTCCTCACATGAGCTTAATGCCACCACCAAAGACTTGAAAGATGTAAGGTGGTGATTCCTACCAAATCCACAATTAACTCACTTGTTTGATCAGAGTACAAATCAAGTAGGTCATGGAAAATGACCACAGACTAATCCAGTGGTGAGGTGAATCACAACCAGAATTGCAGAGGTGGTATTTTTACTGGAGCAAATCCACACAGCCCCTGGCAGCTGGTGTGCCACTACTGACCTGGCAACTGCTTTATCCTGCCCACCCCCACCTTAATCCTCTCCTGCCCTGTTGTGGCAGGGACAGCAGTATACTTTTCCTGTCCTGCCTCCGGGCTATGTCGGCTTGCCTGCATTTGGTCAGAATGTAATCTGGAGGGACCCAGAAGCCCAAGCTGATCCATTACATGTCTTTATCATGCTAATTGGACCAGGACAGCCCCAAAGAGCTAGCACCTAAATGCCTTAGTAAAGTACCTGCGTGCCAGAAAACGGGAGATAAAGCCTGACAATATTCAGGAGTCTGCCACATGCACGAAGCCTCTAGAGTCCAGTAGTCTGGGCGTTGTTGGGATAGACCTTCCAACATGAGATTCAAGTTGTACTTTACACCAGAAAGAGCCATGAAGAAAGAGATACAAAACTTGATTTTCAGAAGTAACACAAACCAGATTTGAGTATCTGTTTCTGTAAACCACTAACTCAAGTAACCCTTAAGTGTACAAGGTTTTTGGCTTTTGTTTTTGAATTTTTATTTTGACATAATTTCAGGCTTACAGAGCAGTTGAAAGAATAGTTGAAGAATTGCCATATACCTTTCACAAATGTTAACATTTTCATAGGCAGATAGAAGCAAACATTTTTAAGTTGAAGAAGTTAAGTTTCTTTTCTACTTATTTAGTTCTAGGAATTTGGACTGATAGACATTGACTGCTGGCTGACCAAGGTGATCTGTGGTGGTTGGTGGCATGTTGGTGGCTAAAGCAGGCAATGTGCAGTGGGGCAAGGGTGTGTCATAGTGACCACCTGGATGGGCCAGCAGGGCCAGGTGTAATGAGATACTGCCATGGAGTTTCTTCCCCCAGATACAGTGTGGCCTGGGTGGAGGCCATGGTGCAACCCTCTGGTACTGAGGAGCCCACACTGTGCGGAGCCTGCCCTGCCTATGCACCGGCGCCAATGACCCAGCCAGGCCTGATTTAGCCCCACCAGGCAGGCAGCAATGGCCCGTCTCAAGCATGGAGCTGCCTCCCCGATATAGGAAGCTGTTGGAGAACTGGAGCTTTGAAGCCATCAATTCGCAGCTAACTGTAGAGAGCAAAGATACCCACATTATCAGCAGGATTGAGAGCTACTCACGTAAGATAGCAGGAGATGACAAACACTGGTGCAAGCTGTTCTGATAGGAGGGCAGCCTGCGTACTGAAGGCTCTCCCCCCATCCCAGACCTCAGGCCTCAGCCCCAGCAGCCTGAGCAAGAACCAACGTGGCAAGGACGAGGGCCCCTCAGGGACAATTGCAATTGCAAGATCCTCTTCCACTTGACTGTCATGCTCAGCAAGTCCTTTCAGGCCTGACTATGACAGCACAGCCCACAGCCATGGGTTCAGCTGGAAGCCCAGCCTCAGCTGGGTGGTGAATGCAGTCAACTGCAATCTGTTCTCAGCTGCATGGGGGGACATCAAGGTCCTAAGACACAGCTGCGGAACACAATGGATGAGGAGATCTGCCTGGCTTAATGGGACACCTACAGCCATAACCCAGACTTGGATCCAGACCCCTTCAGGGAAGAAGATATCCTCTGGTCCTTCGACGACTTCTTCTACAACAAAGGGAGCAAATTGTCTTCTTCAGCCACCGCTCCATTAGCAGCTCCACCTACACACCCTCAGAGGCAGGCAACAAGATGGACATGGAACTGGGACAGGAAGAGGAAAAGAAAGAAAGCGGAGGCAGAGGCAGTGAGGGTAGGGCTGAAGAGACCAGACCATGGAGGACAGAGTCCCAGTGATTTGTATGTGATGAGGAGGAGCACAGGCCCCAGCTTCATCCAGCTTCAACCAGTGCCTGGACCTGCCCACCTGAGAGCTCCTGAGGCCTCCCCAGCTGCAGGCCAGACCCTGGTGCTGCCAGAGTCTCAGCACTGCCCAAGGCCACACCTGCCTAGCCCTTTGGCTCCAGCCTGTTGGTGTCCACTCAACCCCATAGGCTTCTGCTGCCCACGCTGTGGCTGGACTAGACAGTGCAGGACCTGCTGCAAAGAGTAACCACCTTGCCCAAACAAACTGCCACAGGCAGGGACAGCTAGACCACAGAGTTTATTTTTGTATTTCTGCTGGGCCTGCACACTCCAGCCCAAAGGGCTTACGACCAGAGGCCCCAGAGGTCATGAGCTCTAGTCTTGGGCCAGCTCTTGGCGCCCACCTGTACCCCACCTCACCCATTTGGTTGCATGCAGTGAGTGCCACTTTGCTGCAGCTCGTTGCTTTCCAATAAAAATGTCTGTGACTTAAAAAAAAAATGAGACAAAAATTTAAAAATTTTGTAACATGCTCATGAATGCTGGCAACCTCACCTCCACCATCACCCCACCCCAGCTGCCACCACCGCCAGTACAAGTGCAAACACAACACCAGCAACCCCATGGCTGCCAGTGCCCCAGCCCCCATTCTCCCCCCCACCAATGCACCGCTGCCACCACTGGCATGAGCACATACAGAAACACCGCCTCTCCAGTTCTGCCAGAGCCCCGCCCCAGCTAACACGTGTGCACCCGCCATGCTGCAGCAGCTGCTGCCAGACATCAGTAAGCACAGATCTCACTGACACCACCCTGACCAAGTGCTTTGGCTAGCACCTTCCATCAGAGTGCTGTGGCCAGCAGACTGGGAACAACTCGGCCCCTCCAGTAGAACAGATTCCTAACCTTCAGGGTTCAGAGAACACAGCCAGGTGCCCAGCACCAGCCCCCCAGAGTTAGAGCATGCAGCCTAGCAGTGCTGAGTGGAGCCTGGGCCCCCTAAAATCTTCCAGAAATGAAGCAAGTCAACAAAACCCACCATATAACCACAATCAAACCAAGATCATCAAAGAAGATAAAAGCAGAAAACGTATTCAAAGCACAACAACTTCAAAAATTGAAGGAACAGCAGCCCACACAGATGAGAAAGAACTAGTGCAAGAACTCTGGTAACTCAAAAACCAGAGTATCTTCTTTTTTTTTTTTTTTTTTTTTAATTTATTTATTATTATTAAACTTCAAGTTGTAGGGTACATGTGCACAACGTGCAGGTTTGCTACATATGTATACTTGTGCCATGTTGGTGTGCTGCACCCATTAACTCGTCATTTACATCAGGTATAACTCCCAATGCAATCCCTCCCCCCTCCCCCCTCCCCATGATAGGCCCCGGTGTGTGATGTTCCCCTTCCCGAGTCCAAGTGATCTCATTGTTCAGTTCCCACCTACGAGTGAGAACATGCGGTGTTTGGTTTTCTGTTCTTGTGATAGTTTGCTAAGAATGATGGTTTCCAGCTGCATCCATGTCCCTACAAAGGACACAAACTCATCCTTTTTTATGGCTGCATAGTATTCCATGGTGTATATGTGCCACATTTTCTTAATCCAATCTGTCACTGATGGACATTTGGGTTGATTCCAAGTCTTTGCTATTGTGAATAGTGCTGCAATAAACATACGTGTGCATGTGTCCTTATAGCAGCATAATTTACAAACCTTTGGGTATATACCCAGTAATGGGATGGCTGGGTCATATGGTACATCTAGTTCTAGATCCTTGAGGAAAACCAGAGTATCTTCTTACCTCCAAACCACCACACCAATTCCCTCGCAATCGTCCCTAGCCAGGCTGAAATGGCTGAAATGACAGACACAGAATTCAGAAAATGGATAGGAATGAAGATCATTGAGATTCAGGAGAAAGTTGAAATCCCATCCAAGGAATCTAAGGAATCCAATAAGATGCTACAGGAGATGAAAGATGAAATGGCTATTTTAAGAAAAAAGTAAACTGATCTAATAGACCTAAAAAACTCACTTCAAGAATTTAGTAATACAATCTCAAGTATTAATAGCAGAATAGACCAAACTGAGGAAAGACTCTCAGAGCTTGAAGACCAGTTCTCCAAAATAACTCAGTCAGACAAAAATAAAGAAAAAAGAATTTAAAAGTATGAACAAAACCTCTGAGAAATATAGGTTATGTAAAGAGACCAGATCTATAGTTCACTGGCATCCCTGAAAGAGAAGGAGAGAAAGCAAGCTACTCAGAAAACGTATCTGAGGATATTGCTCATGAAAATTTCCCTAACCTTGCTAGAGGCCAACATTCAAATGCAGGAAATGCAGAGAACCCCTGCAAGACACTCGACAAGATGACTATCCCCAAGACACATAGTCATCAGATTCTCTAAGGTCAAAATGAAAGAAAAAGTTTTAAAGGCAGCTGGAGAGAAATAGCAGGTCACCTACAAAGGAAACACCATTAGGCTAACAGTAGGCCTTTCAGTAGAAACCGTACAGCCAGAAAAGATGAGGGGTCTATATTCAGCATTTTTTTTAAAGAAATTCCGGCCAGGCACAGTGATTCACACCTGTGATCCCAGCACTTTGGGAGGCCAAGGCAGGTGGATCACCTGAGGTCAAGAGTTTGAGACCTCCTGACTAACACAGTAAAACCTCATCTCTACTAAAAATACAAATATTAGCCGAGCGTGGTGGTGGGCACCTGTAATCCCAGCTACTCGGGAGGCTAAGGCAGGAGAATTACTTGAACCCGAGGTGGAGGTTGCTGTGAGCCAAGATAGCGCCATTGCACTCCAGCCTGAGTGACAGAGTGAGACTCCATCTCAAAAAACATAAATAAATAAAATAAAAAAGAAATTCCAACCAAGAATTTCATATTCAGCCAACTAAGCCTCATAAGTGAAGGAAAAATAAGGTCCTTTTCAGAGAAGTAAATACTAAGGGAATTTGTTACCCTTACATAATATTCTATAATGGTAAAGGTTTCAATTCAACAAGAAAATCTAACTATGCTAAATACATATCCACTCCACACAGGAGCACCCAGATTCATTTAAAAAGTTCTTGCAGACCTAAGAAGAAATTCAGATAACCACACAATAATAGCGGGAGACTTCAACACCCCACTGACAGTATTAGACAGATCATCAAGGCAGAAAACTGATTAAGATATTCGGGACCTGAACTAACACAACCAAATGGACCTAACAGACACTACAGGACTCCTTATCAGAAGCGAAGAAAAGACACTCCCACTATAATAGTCTCCTGCTATTACTGTCTGGTGACAAAGACCCTATCTCTAAAAATAAAACACAAAAAATAAATCAAGAAATTAGCATTGGTGATATTATTATCCAATCTAAATATTCTATTCAGATTTTGCCAGATGTCTCCATAACGTCCTTTAGAACAAAAGAACATTTTAGATCACGAGTAACGTTCAGTTGCCATGTCTCTTTAGTCTACTTAAATCTGCAGAAGTCCTCAGTCTTCCCATCTGCATTTCATGACATTGGCATTCTGACAAACACAAACGTATTAGTTTCCTAGGCCAGCCATAGCAAATGGTTACAAACTGGATGGCTTTAAACAGCACAAAGTTATTTTCCCACTGCTCTGATAGCTAGAAGTCTAAAATCAAGGTGTCCGCAGGGCTGTGCTCCCCCGGAAACGTGTAGGGGTATCTTTTCTTGCCTATTCCCAGTTTCTGGTGGTTGCCGGCAGCCCCTGGTGTGCCTTGGTTTGCAGCTGCAGCCCCTGCCTCTGTCCTCACTTGATATTCTCCCTTTGTGTGTCTGTGTCTCTGTGTCTTGTCTTCTCTTCTAATAAGGATACCTGTCATATTGGATTAAAGGCCCATTCTCCTCTAGTAGGACCTCATCTTAAATTAATTACACCTGCAACAACTCTTATTTCCAAATCAGGTCATGTTCTGACATACTGGGGATTCGAACTTCAACATATCTTTTTTGGGAGTCACAGTTCAAGCCGTCTCAACAGAGCAGTTATTTGATAAAATACTCCTCAATTTGAGTTCTGGTATTTCCTCAGGTTAGATTCAAGTTGCACACTTTGGGTTGGAATACCGTAAAACTCACCAGGAGGCACGTGATACCAATATGTCCCTCTCCTGGTGATGTTAATTTTGTGTACTGGGTTAAGGTGACGGTGTGCCAAGCTTCTCCACTGTAGAGTTACTGTTTTTCCATTTGTAATTAGTAAGTACCTTGTGAAAAAATACTTTTAGTCTATCTGGAGTAACTACTGTTATTCCTCAAATTTTCTCTCCCAGGAGTTTTAGTTTTAGCATCAATTGATGATTCCTGCCCAAGTCAATTATTACTTTTATGTTTGCCAAATGGTGAGTTTCGAATTCCATCCATCATTTCTTCTACATTTTTTTAGTTGGCTTTCTTCTATAAGAAAAATGTTCTGGCCGGGCACGGTGACTCACGCCTGTAATCCCAGCACTTTGGGAGGGTGAGGCGGGAGGATCACCTGAGGTCGGGAGTTCGAGACCAGCCTGATCAACATGGAGAAACCCCGTCTCTACTAAAAAT